GCCGACCCGGGCTGGCCCAGAGCAGCGCCCCGCGCGCCCGGAGGCAGGTCGGGGTTCCAGCGCCGCTCGGACTGATTCGCCGTCCGCACCATGAAGATGCATTTCTGCATCCCGGTGTCCCAGCAGCGGCCCGACCGGCTGGGGGGCCGCTACGTGGTGCGCTGGGGGGCGGCCGGGTAGGGAGGGGACCTGTGTTCCGCGCCACGCTAACCGGGACGGGATGTCCGTGTGCTTGCAGCTGTATTCCGTGTACCTGGACGGGTTCCTCTTCTGCCGGGTGCGCTACAGCCAGCTGCACCGCTGGAACGAGCAGGTGAGCTGGCCGAGGCGGGCGCACCGCCCACCCGAGGCCGCTGCTCCAGCGGGTGCCCAGAGGCCTCCGGGAATGTGGCTTTCTCGGGACACCCGGCTTTGGGGGACTTCAGGCTCCTGATTCGTGGGACGAGGTTGCGGGGAGGATTAATTAGGAATTGCTTACAGGTAGATGGACACATCTGCATCAACGGTCCACAGGTGTGAGATGAGGAAGAGGCCCAGTGATTCTGCCAACCCCACTCCAGCCCTTGGACACTGACCAATCCAAATCAGCTCGGGGTGCTGGGTCTTGGGTGGGGTCCCAGGGTTTCCCAGGACGGTGTCCTCCTTCAGAATGAATAAGTCAAGTGGAGACCAGGGTGCAGGGTTCGGAAGGTTGCACATGACTGTCCAATCTTCCCCCCACCCCCAAGAGTTTGTAAGTCCATTCACTTTTAAAAAGACGTCTGTGTTTTTGTTTCAGGTTCGGGTGAACAAGTAACCAAGGACACACATGGCTTTTCACGTTGGGAGTCCATTTTTCATTGTAGTTTCTCACTTTTCTCTGGGAGGCAAATGGATTTAATGGATTTTATTGTTCATTTCAGTAGGACCTGTCAAGTCTTCAAAATGTGTTAGAGAAGTAAATGGCACTTTGGGAATGTTCATGTTTCCCACACACTTTTACAAGTACAGTAGTTGGGTTTTCTCCCTTATTTATTTTAGACTTTAAAGAGCACTTATCTGAAGTTAAAAAACAAAAACAAGAAACAGCTTGCTCAGAGACAACAACCATCAGCATACCTTTGGGAGGGGCCGAGGGAGGCCTTTCAGTCTTGGGTTGCTAGAGAGTCATAAGTGCCCCTGTTTCATTTAGCCTCCTTCTCTTGGTGGACTGCTTTACTTTGATTTTTCTACTCTTGAAAACATCGCAGTGATAGATCTTGCTCTTCCATCACAATGCACTGGAAAGGTCTATTTTCAGGGGATGAAAATCTTTGGTGTTAACAAGAAAATGGGTATGTTGTGATTTTTTTTTCTTGCCAGTACTGGGGCTTGAACCCAGAATCTAGGAGCCGGTCCTTTAGCTTTTTTGCTCAAGGTTGACACTCCAACTACCCCTTGAGCCACAGCACCACTTCTGGCTTTTTGCTGCTTAACTGGAGTTAAGAGACTTACAGACTTCCCTGCTGGGACTAGCTAAGAATCATGAACCTCAGATCTCAGCCTCCTGAGTAGCTAGGATTACAGGTATGAGCCACTGGAACCTAGGTCAAAATCTTTTTTTTGGGGGGGGGGGTCCAGTCGTGGGGCCTGGGTGCTGTCCCTCAGCTCTTCAGCTCAAGGCTTGCACTCTACCACTTGAGCCACAGCGCCACTTTCCGGCTTTTTTTTCTTTTTGCTTATGTGGTGCTGAGGAATCGAACCCAAGGCCTCATGCATGCAAGGCAAGTGCTCTACCACTGAGCCACCTTCCCAGCCCCACCTAGGTCAAATTCTTAATGACTTAATGCTAAACGAAATGAAAAGAAAGCAATAGAAGGGTCCCCATCTCTATGAGTACATGTGGTAAGTATAAGTCTATTTCCTTAAAAAAGTGAAAATTACAATTTTAGCTGTGTGAATTTTGGCTATGAGGATTGGATTTATATTTTGTATAGTTGATACCTATTTATGTAGTTAGTTTTGTGCTTGTACTAGGGCTTGAACTCAGAACCTTGCACTCTTGTCTAGCTTTTTTGCTCAAGGCTGGCACTCTACCACTTGAGCCATAGCTGTACTTCTGGCTTTTTGCTGATTCATTGGAGATGAGTCGTGGATTTGTCTGCCTGTGTTGGCTTCAAATCTCAATCCTCAGATCCCAGCCTTCTGAGTGGCTGATCATAGGCTTAAGCCGTCACGGGCACCCGGTTTGGTAGCTACCTATATGTTTGATTGAGAAGGACTTCCTACCCAAATGAGGTGGTCTTAGTCCACTTAGCCAGGGTAGGTAAAGAGCTAATCCATGAATGACTGAACCTGAGGAAGAGATGGGTGTGTATCCATGAGGCCACCTGTGACGGGCTCTCTGAGATCATCACCTGCAGCTCTGTCCTTGGGTGAAGCTCTCTTAGGGCTGGTACAGTGCTGCTCATCCCTCTGCCACATAAACTGGCTGGCTCATCTCTCTGTGCCTTCGGATGAATAAAAACACTTTGATTTATGCCTCTGTCTTTGCCTGCACTATCCTCCTTAAATGATGTAAAGAAATCTGCAAAGATAGCAGCTCATTCTGTTCCAGTGTTAAAGAGGAGGCATCCTGTGTAAGTGATGCTGAACTGGGTGCTACTTTTTGCACTCTGCCAGCATCAGATATGACAGTGAGGATAAGTTGGGGCCAGTCAAGCCTAGAAAGGACACTGTAGCAGGGGCAAGGGCTGGGATCTGTGCAGGCTCATTATGCCGCTTTGGTGTGCCTCCCTGCTCGGTGTTGCTTCTCCTGTTCCATCCCACACTGGGCTAATCTAATCTCTCCCTTTATTTTTTTCCTTAAACAAGGTTTTGGTAATGTAACCCAAGCTGACTTCATATTCTTGCATTCCTTCTGCCTCAGCTTCCAGAGTACTTAGATTGCAGATGTGCACAACCAGGCCTGACTTTGATCTCTTTCTCTTTCTCCATTCATCCTCTATTCCTATCAGGCTGGACTACTCATTATCCATGCCTTGTTCACCTCCTCTCCTTGGAAGACTTGGTTTTGGGCTCACCAGGAAGTCCCCATTGGTTGCATAAGGTACCTCTGTCTGATTTCTGCGACACTTTGTGTTTAGATGTCACAACCCATAGCACTTTGAGTTGTGGCTCCGCTTTTGGCTAAAAGAGAACTTGGGGAAGTGGGAAGAATGAGTCAAGGTTGGAAATAGAGAAGGCAGAAAGGACTCCATTTATAACTCCACTTGTCCCAAGTTGCCACCACCAGGTATCAGGGCTGTGAGTGAGGTGAGGCAGGGATGATGTTTCCCAGTATGATCTTTTCACATTAAGAGACAGAGTTTCACAATGGATGTCAGGGTAGAGGATTAAAAGGTATCACTAGATGAAGCCAGTGGCTCACACCTGTAATCCTAGCTATTCAAGAGGCTGAGATCTCAGGATCATGGTTCAAAGCTAGCAGGAAGACCAGGAGACTCTTATCTCTAATAAACTACCAAAAAGCTGAAAGTGGAGTTGTAGTGCAAGTGGTAGAGTGCTAGCTTGAGCAAAAGAGGCTCAGAGACAGTGCCCAGGCCTTTAGTTCAAGCCCCAGGACTGACACAACAACAACAAAGTATCTCAATGTAGTCTCTGAGGGAGAGAGGTGGGGGGAGGGGAGGAGAATGCTTCAAGCAAACAAAACACCTAATGAAAGCACAGAAGACTTGTATTTTCCTTTGACAGAGAGATTGAGCTGAGCTATAAAATCAGAAAATTTGCTGTAGAGTTTCAACTGCTATATTTTGTGTTGAGATTCATAAAAAAGGACTCTGTTGGTATTGTTGAACTTTAGCCACATTTGAGAAGGGAAGTGAATGATTCTTTGTGAAGTCATCTCACGCTGTGAAATCTGATGGGAGGCCTTATGCTCTGTGATGGGCCTTAATGTGTGTTGACTTTCCCCAGGTCTTGGCCTCCAAGATGGGGCTCCTCATGATGCTCTCCTGTAGATGGCTAGCTTTGCTGTCTCAAGGCTGCTACTGTTAAAATCTATTGGAGAACATCTGTGACATTCACGAACACATGCCAAGGAAGCCCCTGGCCTTTTAAAGATCACTTAATCAGTAAATCAAGAATAACTGCTTGAGCCGAGCGCTGGTGGCTCCTGCCTATAATCCTAGCTACTCAGGAGGCTGAGATCTGAGGATCGTGGTTCAAGCCAGCCTGGGCAGGAAAGTCCATGAGACTCTTATCTCCAATGAAAACCAGTAGAAAACCAGAAGTGGCTCTGTGGCTCAAGCGATAGAGTGTTCGCTCACCTTGAGCTGAAGAGCACAGGGATAGCGCCCAAACCCAGACAACCGACAAAAGAAAAAAAAAAAAGAATAACTGCCTGCAAAGAAGACATAGTTCTGCTTCTGTTGAATGCAATTAGCAGAGACCAGAATGAAATTAGCCTTGCCTTGTCCGGAAGGGAACTCCAATTGGGGTACCTTTTGACAGTCTTTAGCTCAGTAGGAACATTTGAGTTTAAGAGTAGCACAGTTGTAGCTATAATGCTATAGTGGGGTTAGATGAGTGATTGTGCCTGTTGGGCTAGCCAAGTCATTTCATGTGTCCACAATTATAGCATCACATAAAACAGCTTTATTACCCTAAAACATTTCTATACATTTCTATTCAGTACGGTCTGATCCCAAACCCTTGTGTTAACTACTTGTTTTTTTGCTTAACAGTCTCTATATGTTTGCCTTTTCCCTAGGATGTCATATAAATGAAATCATGCAGTGTATAGCTTTTCCAGACTGTTTTTTTTGTTGTTTACAAAATGCATTTAAGTTTTATCCAGACCTTTTTTTTTTTTTTGCTGGTCCTGGGGCTTGAATTCTGGTCCTGGGCGCTATATCAGAGCTCCTTTTGCTCAAGGCTAGCACTTGAGCCAGAGACCCATTTCCAGCTTTTTTTTGTGATTGGAGTTAAAAGTCCCATAGATTTTCCTGCTTGGGCTGGCTTTGAACCACAGTCCTCAGATCTTAGCCTGCTGAGTAGCTAGGATTGCAGGCAGGAGCCATCAGTACCCAGCTCCAGGTATTTTTATAAATAATATATATATATATATATATTTTTTGCCAGTCCTGGGTCTTGAACTCAGAGCCTGGGCACTGTCCCTGAGTTTCTTTTGCTCAAGGCTAGCATTCTACCACTTGAGCCACAGCATCACTTCTGGTTTTCTGGTAGTTTATTGGAGATAAGAATCTCACATACTTTCCTGCCAGGGCTGGCTTTGAACCCTAATCCTCAGATCTCAGCCTCCTGAGTAGCTAGGATTATAGGCATGAGCCAACAGCTCACCGGTCCAAATAGTATTTTTATAAGTAGTATCCCATTATAAGGATGTCTATCATTGTATGGATGGAAGGATAGCTTTGTGGCTTTCTGTTTGGAGGTTATAATAAAGCTACTCTAAATGTTCACATGTGGGTTCTTGTGTGGCCATAGTTTTCAAATCAGTCTAATAAATACTTAAAAGAGTGATTGTTCAATTATTCAATAAGAGTAGATTTAGCTATATAAGAAACTGTCTTCCAAAGTGACTGTGATACTTTGTATTAAATATTTAAATAATAAAAATAAAAAATTAAATCACAAAGTAAATGTTGACCTCAAAGTAAAATTCTCTAAAATCAAATATCTAAATATAAGCATCAAGGAGCTATATTTGTCCATACTTATATAGTTAATAATTTTTCTAGATGTTAGACCAATACTTTTCCGTAGAAACTTCTATGCATATGGAAGTAATTCTAGATCTGTTTTTCCAACTCAATAAGAACTAGCCAGCTTCCATGGCCTGCTGAGTACTTGTGACTATTGCAACTGAAGAATTGAATTTTACATGAAGAAAATCTCATTTTAGCTAGTTTAGATTTAAATTTGCTCACAGATGGCTAATGGCCACCATATTGAATGATACAGTTCAAGACCACTGGGATGATTTTGGCTTTTACTTGTGTGAGATGGGAAGCTGTGGAAGAATTTGAGCCAGGAGTGCAATGGTGTGACTTACATTTTGGAAATTTCACCTTAGATGCTGTATAGAAATAGATGAAGGGAGGTCAAGGATAGAACAGAGAGAGACCTTTTGGACAGTTAACTCAATAATCTGGAAAATGGGCATCTGCTCATGATTTGTTTGCATATAGTGCTATGGTCGAGAGAAGTGGTCAGATTCTCTATATCTTTTGAAGTTAAGAACTATGTAAGATAAATATTTGCATATCTATGCACTGTAATTCTGGAGCAGGTAATTAAGTTTTAAATCTTGTCTGTTCTCAACCTCATTTTGCTTAGATATGTTTTCATTTTGTTTTTAGCCAAAGATTATGGTAATAATAGTTTCAGCACCTTTAAAGGTGCTGTGTTAAAACGTGACTGGGTTTCTTCTCACTGGTGTCCTTTGTGGGTTTGTGTGTGTGTGCACGCGCAATGTGTGTGTGCTTATGTGTGCCAGTCCTAGGGCTTCAACTTGGGCCCGGGCACTGTTCTTAAGCTTTTTTTGCTCAATGCCAACACTGTACTACTTGAACCAACTTGAACCACAGCTCTACTTCTGGCTTTTTATTATTATTGTTGATGATGGTAGTTTAGTAGAGATAAGAGCATCACAGACTTTCCTGTCCAAGCTGGCTTTGAACAGTGATCCTCAGATCTCAGATCCTAAGTAGCTATGAGTACAGGTATGAACCACCTACATCCAGCTCCTTTGTGTTGTTTTGAAGAGATGGATACCATCTCACCTTTAAGCTGCCACTGAGAGTATGGGGCTAGAATACAGAAGACTCTTTTAGTTCCTAATTTTGTGAATTTTCCATAGAAAGAATTACCACCATGGTCTTGCAATAAGACTAACCTGGGAGAAAAATGCCTGACTAGATTCTTTACTGGGATAGTAGTTATTCTTACTGGAATTCTCTGCCACTGTCCAATAGGAATATCACATGACTCATATATCTAATTTAAATTTTCTGATAATTATATTAAAAAGAATAAAAAGATCCAGCTACTCAGGTAGGCAGAGCTGAGGGTTTAATACCAGCCCAGACAAAGTTAGTGTGAAAATCTATTTTATAAAACAAGGTATGCCCAGTACCTGTGGCTCACATCTGTAAGTCTAGCTAGCTAGTCAGGAGGCTTAGCTATGAGGATTGAGGTTTAAGGCCAGCCTGGGCAGGAAAGTTGGTGAGACTCTTATCTCCAATTAACCACCCAAAAACTGGAAGTGGCCGCTGTGGCTCAAGTGGTAGAACACTTGCCTTGAGCTGAAGAGCTGAGGGACAGCACCTAGGCCCAGAGTTTAAGCCCCATGACTGACAAAACAAATAAAAAACAAGGTTGATGTGGTGATGCATGCTTGCAATCATAGCTACTGGGAGGCAAGGTAGGAAGATTGAGGTTTGAGGACAGCTTGGGCAAAAGTGTTAAGACCCTATCTGAAAAACAAACTAAAGCAAAAGGACTGGGAGACTTGGCTTTTGTAATAGAGCCCTTGTTAAGCAATTAAGTCTCCAACACTGCCAAGTTTTGCTGTGAAAAGTAAAAAGAAACAAATGAAATTTACTTTGACAATATGTGCTATCGATCAAAACATTATCATTTCAATGTATAATTAGTATACAAATGAGATTTTTTTGCATTTTCTTTGAACTAAATCTTTAAACTCTGGGTGTGTCTTACCCTTGTGGCTCATTTTAAACATTCATAGGCACAGGTGATAGTGGCTGTATTATTAGATAGCACAGCTGTATACATCTGTCCAGTTCAGATTTCATAGAGTTGGGGTTGAAGAATGAAGTTCTACTATAATAATTGAATTGCAGATATTATGGAGTGATTTAAGAAATGCAGACTGATGGAGGAATGGGCAATCTTATAAACACAAAAATCAAAACAGAAATCTAACTCAACCGAAGTTAGGAATTCTCAGATTGTATCAGGTCTAATAGCATCTTTAGAACATATGCTGAAATATATTCCCCCTTAAGAAAATAAAATTTTCCTCATTTCCTTCCTTGGACAGTGAAGAAGCATTAGTTTTAAGGAAAGTGTTAGACTTTGCTCTGAGAAGAGGCCTTAGCATCTTACCAATGCTGAATTTGGAGCAAACCTGCTGTAACTGTGTATTTTCTGGATCTCTCAGCTGAAGCGGGTCTTCGGAAATTGCTTGCCGCCCTTTCCACCAAAGTACTATCTGGCAATGACCACCTCTATGGCCAATGAGAGGAGAGACCAGTTGGAACAATACTTACAAACTGGTATGTATTGTGATTTAAAAAAATAAACACCTGAAGATTGAGCTATAAGTTACACATCACAAAGTTGATCTGTTTTAAAGTGCTAATTGGATGGTTTTGAACATTTTGAACTGTGCAACCATAGTTTTAGAATATTGTCATCACTCCAAAAGAAAACTTGTGCTGTAGTCAATCTCTTCCCCTACTGGGTCCTGGAAACCACTGTATTATTTTCTATCTATAAATTTGCTTAGTGATGCTGTGGCTCAAGTGGTAGAGTGTTAGCCTTGAGCAAAAGAAGCTCAGGGACAGTGCCCAGGTCCTGAGTTCAAGCCCCAGGACTGGCAAAAAAAAGTATAAATTTGCTTATTCTTGATACTTCATATGCATAGAATTTTGCAGTGTATTATTTTATTGAGTTTTTAGAATATTTTGTGTTGCTGGGCACCAATGCCTATAATCCTAGCTACTCAGGAAGCTGAGATGTGAGGATTGAAATTTGAAGCCAATCCAGGCAGGAAAGTCATGTGACTGTTATCTTCAATTAATCAACTGAAAGCCAGGAGTAGAGCTGTGGCTAAAGTGGTAGAGTCCTAGCCTTGAGAGAAAACAAAAATAACTGAGGGACAGTGCTCAGGCCTCAAGTTTATGCTAATACTGGCATAAATAAAATTAAAATAAAATAGGTTGTGTTAAGACTCACTCTAGGTGGGTTTTTTGTTTTATTTTGTTTTGTTTGTTTTTTGTGCTGATACTGGGGCTTAAAAACTGAAGCCTGGGCTGGGAAGTGGTAGAATGCTTGCCTTACATGCATGAGGCCCTGGGTTCGATTCCTCAGCACCACATAAGCAAAAAGAAAAAATCCGGAAGTGGTGCTGTGGCTCAAGTGGTAGAGGGCTAGCCTTGAGCTGAAGAGCTGAGGGACAGTGCCCAGGCCCAGAGTTCAGGCCCCACGACCGAACCCAAAAAACAAACAAAAAACTGAAGCCTGCATGTTCCTCTTTGGCTTTTTTTTTGCTCAAGACTAGTGATCTACCACTTAAGTCACATCTCTTTTTCTGTTTTTTTTTTTTTTGCTGGAGATAAGAATTTCATAGATTGGTCTGCCCATACTGTCTTTGAACAGTTAAACCAAATCCTCAGATCTCAGCATTTTCAGTAGCTAGAATTGTAGCCACCAGTGCCCAGCTGTATTTGACTTTGAGGAAAAGAAAGAAATATTATCTGGCTTAAGATAGAACAAAGGTCAGAGCTTAGGCAGTGCTAAAGATTATACCTTAAACTCAGCCCTTATAATTGGTATGAAGGTACCAAGGATGCTAAGAGGCCTGGCCTGGCCCCTGAGAGGCTGACAGTACTATAGTCTTGGCTGTTGTCTTTGGCAAGTGTGTAGTTAGCAAGATTAAGCTCTCACATAGAAGAGTGGCTTGAGGGAAAGTAGTCAGATTACCATTCACATATTTAGACCTTTAAAATCAGTCTACACATGCAATGTTTTTAACAATATAAACTACGCAAAAAGCATACAAGAAAGGGTAATCTTCCTCTAACCCTGTCTTCCAGCTGTCTAGAAGCAAACATTGTTACCACTATTTCATATCCCCAAAAGCAATCTTTATATAGACTAGAACCCATATAGATACCTTCTTGTTCAGTGCAAATTGAGGTTCAACCTATGTACTTTTCTTTTTTCCCTTTTTTCTTTTGCCAGTCCTGGGGCTTGAACTCCAAACCTGGGTACTGTCTCTGAGTAGCTTCTTTTGCTCCAGGCTAGCACTCTACCATTTGAGCCACAGCACCACTTTTGGTTTTTTCTGTTTATGTGGTGTTAATGAATCAAACCCAGGGCTTTATGCATACGAGACAATCACTCTACTGCTAGGCCACATTCCCAGCCCCCTATGTATTTTTCTATACCTGTTTTCTTTTTTAATTTTTTATTCTGAAACGCAACATACAGAAAAGCAAAAAAAAAAAAAAGCAAAGAATTTCCTTATATTCTTCAATCAGATTTTCTAACTGTTACATTTACCTAACCATTCTCTTTCTTGTGTGTATTTGTATAATACATATATATATGAACATGTATGCTTTTGAAATGATTCATATCACATACCTAAGTCATTTTATCCTTAAATATTCCTAAGTATTTTTCCTAAGATCAAGGACACTGTTGTATAAACACATAGAGTTATCAAAATCAGAAAAGTATTGCTACAACATTATCTACAGACCTTATTTACATTTACTCAAGTGAACTATCACACCAACGTCCTTTACAATTAAAGTTTTTTCTTCTGTAGGTTGTCTTTTCCCTTTTAGAACATGTATAGTTTGACCTAATTTCTTTCCATAACTGTCTAATTTAAACTTAGTAAAAATTCAAGAAGTCACGACTTCACACTTGTTTTTTATAGTAGAATCTATAGTAGAGACCTGTTGCATAAGCCCTTTCAAGTTTAAAATGTAATCTCCCTGGCATTTTCAGTCTCTCTTGGTTTTCCTTCTCAAGTCTTAACAAAATCCTTTAATACCTGGACTTTTTACTGATAACCCCAGCACTTACAAGGTCACTGTTCTGGACCCCATCTTGACCATATCATCAGATATCTTGTGTATCCTCTTTGACAAGGTCAAGTGAGAACAGAATGCAGCTTAGTGTCATTGTAATGACTGAGAGCGTGGGCTTGGGAACAGACCCACAGTCAGATCTCACATTTGCTTCTCAGCAGCTGTGTGACTTGGGGGTGACATACTCACCTGTCAGGTACCTCACTTAGACTCTCAGGGTCTTTTATCTATAAAATGCAGATGACAGGTGCTTCAGGGTTTGTCATGAAGATTAGTAGAGCCAAAATGCACAAACTTCTTGTGCCAGTTACCTGGTACAGTCAGTTATACAGTAAATACATGCATATTAATACCGTTTTTTAAGTTTTCCTCATCCCCAAGAATCTATGCTAAGCCGGACACCAGTGGCTCACACCTGTAATCCTAGCTACTCAAGGAGACTGAGATCTGAGGATCATGGTTCAAAGGAAAGTCCATGAGATTCTTATCTCCAGTTAACCACCAGAAAACCAGAAGTGGTGCTGTGGCTCAAGTGGTAGTGCTCACCTTGAGCTGAAGAGCAGAGGGACAGCACCCAGTCCCAGAGTACAAGCCCCGAAACCAACCAACCAACAAAAAAAGAGTCTATGCTAAGCAATATATTTTGCCTAATATGCCACATCTATTCCAGAAGATAAAGCCAGAGCTTCCCTTTTCTTTCCTCCCTTGAAACTATTCCCTCAAGACAGAGGGAGCTGGTAGCTCACATCTGTAATCCTAACTTCTCAGGAGGCTAAGATCTGAGGATCATGGTATGAGGCCAGCCTGGGCAGGAAAGTCTGTGAGACTCTTATCTCCAATTAATTACAAAGAAAAGAAAAGAAAAGAAGCCAGAAGTAGAGCAGTGGCTCAAGTGGGTGAGTGCTAGTTTTGAGCAAATATACTAAGGGACAGTGCCTTAGGCCCTGAGTCGAAGCCCCGTACTGGCACAAGAAAAATAATTAAGACAGAGGGAATGCCTTTGATGGTGGTTGTTTTGAGACAGAACCTCACTATGTAGTCCAGACTAAACTTGAACTTGAAATACTCTTGCCTCAGCCTCCCCAGTGCTGAGATTACATGCCCATCTGGGAATGCCTTTTCCAGAAGGTTTATCATGTCACCAAGTGTTAGTTTATTTGGAACACATGGCATTGCTTCGAAAGGCACATCCTGTAATGAAGTCAGTCAGTGCTAATTTTGAATGCTGATTTGATGAAATCAGCACAAGAACAGCAAGAAGAAAAGAAGAAATTTAAGAGCAATTCAAAAGTGTACAAAGTTAGTTCAAGTATTGGGTTCAGGACGGATTTGAGGGAAGGGAACCAAGCACAGAGGAGGCAGGCTGGCAGCCTGGAGTCTACAATGCTTACAAGGGCTGGTTTGCTCCTGGCTTCTGCGTAATCAGGTTGAACTTTAAAACTGAGGGCAGGGGAGAGGATTTTTGTAAGATCCAAGCCCTTCAATCTCTTGTCACTCTTTGGATAACCTCTTGAGAGCCCTGATTTTTCAAAGCGGTGCTCTCAATTGATGTTTCTTGGTTGATTGGATTTTTTCAGATGAACCAAACTTGTATGCTCTTTGTGCTGCTTCATTACAGTTTCATCACCATCCCAGCAGGGCAGTGAAATGAATACTGAGCAGTGTGAACGAGCATGAATAATGTGAGACTCCTGGGAATGCCATTACCCCGCATTGGCACAAAGGGTTCATGTGGTGAAGGCTTCCTACCATGGGCAAGCTTTGTGGATTTTCCTGTTCTGAAGGAAACTTCCTTGCCTCCAGGGAAGCCACCGTGTGCTGGCCAGGATTGGAGGACTTCCTGGAGGACAGGCAATTTATAGACAAGGCTCAGCCCAGTTCTTGCTCACCTGGCTTGCTGTCCATATTTTTCAGTAACTGCAGACCCAGATGTGTTGAGAAGTGATGTCTCCATTGAATTTTTAAGGCTCGTCCAGCTGGTAAGCTTGTCCTTCTTTACTGAGGCTGTTATTTCTCTGTAGAGTATGTGTCTGTTACCCTTGTGTGCATATGTGTACTTACCTGTGTGCTTTCACCATCAGCCATGTAGAGCATTGGCTTGGGTAAAATGTATTAATCTTGAGTAACGTGGAGGATGGTTCTTATTCTAAATGGAAAATGAAGCATGCCATTTGGCTTTTGGTTTGCCTTTTTCCCCCCCCAGTTCTTGGGCTGGAACTCAGGGCCTGGACACTGTCCATGAGCTTTTTTTGCACAAGGCTAGCACTCTACCACTTGAGCCACAGTGCCACTTCTGGCTTTTTCTGTTAATGTAGTACTGAGGAATTGAACCCAGGGCTTCATGCATGCTAAGCAACTACTCTCACATTAAGCCACATTCCCAGCCTGGTTCGTCCTTTTATTTTGTAAGTACTATCTATTTCTGAACTGGATCTGAAGGGACCAGCTGAAGGGGTGCAGAAATCCAATTCTCTCTCTCTCTCTCTCTCTCTCTCTCTCTCTCTCTCAACTGGGGCTTGAACTCAGGGTGTGGGCATTGTCCTTGAGATTTTTTGCTCAAGGCTGTCATTCTTCTACTTGAACCACAGCTCCACATCCACCTTTTTTTGCCAGCTAATTGGAGATAAAAGTCTCACAGACTTTTCTGCTCTGGCTGCTGGGAACAAGGATCCTCAGATCTCGGCTTCCTCAGTAGCTAGGATTACGGGTGTGAGCCACCAGCACCTGGGTATTTTTGTATCCTCTTGATAGTTGACATAGGCAAATCCTCTCTTGTTATCGCTGTTCAAGGGCTGGTGATAATAGTAGAGGAATATGTACAAGTGAAAGTAACCTTTCTTGGCCATAGTCCCTCTTCTGTAGATAGCTGTTCTTTAGTTACAGTTGATATGCTCTCCCTACACATTTTTGTGCACATGCATGTAAATACACACTTTATTTTAAAAATACCATAAAGTAAACATACTTCTTGAACCTTGCTTCCTCCTCCCCACACTGAGACTCCAACCTCTATCCTATAGGCTTGAACTGTCCTTGCTAGGCAGGCATTCTACCACGTGAGCCACATTACTAGACTGAATCTTGCCTTTCAAAACTTGACATTTTTCAGATCATTCTATATCAACACATATAAAGGTAAATTTGACTTCAATTCTTTTGAGGACACCTGATGGATTTTTGGCTGTAATGCTTTTAAAACGTCATCCATGGGTGTCAATGCCTTTATAAATTTATATACCAAAGCCTTCTGATTCCAGCTGCATTTTGCAGTGGTTCTTTTTTACCATGAACTTTACCAGCTCTTTTTTTTTTAATGCTGTCACGTGTTTATTTTTATTTCAGTTCGTCTATTCATTCATTCATTTTTGGTACTGGGACTGGGACTTGCATAGAGGGCCTCGTGGGCTGTACCCTGTGAGTCAAGCCTGTAGTCCATGCTGGCTCACTTGTATTTCCTTTTGTTTTTCTTCTTCACTGAGGCCTTTATCTGTTCTTTCAGATCTTCATTCAGAGATGTTGCATTTTTATTAGTATGTCTAACATTTTTTTTCTGCTTAGGGTTATCATTTTTCAGGCCTCTCTCTATTTTTTGACTCTACTTAGTGAATTTCCTTTCCCTCTTCCTGTGTAGGGCTTTTGCATAGATCCCTTGTAGTCTTCTTCAGGTCATTGTTCAACTTCAGAAGGGGCTATTCTTCCTCAGATAGCTGTTTACTGATCCATACACACACTGTTGAGGGGATGGGGGCTTGAGTTTAAGTCACTCAAGTCTCTCTCACAGGATTTCTGGATCTTGGCTCTTCTTTCTGAGATTTTTTTTTCTTTCTAATGCTCTGCTCCAATGCCCACAGTCTGTTTAGTAGTGAAGCAAAAACCATAACTCTTCCTGTTATGATCTAGTGTTTATGATGCTTCAGTTGACTTAGATCAGCAATCCCCAAAGTACCCTAGTGGTTAAGAATTCAGATTCATCACAAAGGTGCAATATCTATGTACATCTGATCATATAAAATCATATTTATCTAAATGAACTCCAGGAAATGGAAACAAGAGACTTTTTCCTGTTTCTGTTTTCTATTTGTCTTGTTTGTTCATTTATCAATCTTTGGGAAGGTAAGAGAGTACAGCAGTGGAAGGACAAAGAGTGAAAATGCAGCAGAGCTACTAGACACTATGTGGAAGATGAACTATACAACTTGAGGGTGGGGACAGAAGGGGAAAACTGGGAGAGAGCAAGGGAATGGAATCATATTGTCCAAAAAGGAATATACTCCACCTGACTTACATAATTGTAACCCTTTTGTTCATCACCTTTATAATAACAATAAAAATTAAATTTAAAAAAGTTCAGGTGCAGGATTAACATGGTTAAAATTTTGGCCATCCTGTTTATGAGTTATATGACTTGGAGCAATTTTGCCTCTTTGTATCATGGTTTCTTTTTGGTAAAATGGGGAGAAAAATGTCTTGTCTCTTTGGGTTAATTTGAGGATTAAATGAACTAAGCCCTTTCAATCACTTAAATGTCATCTGGCACAATGTTACCATGTAGATGATAGTCACTTTTGAATCTGAGCTGGTCCCTTTTCTTTCAGCTTTTTACTGGTTAATTGGAAATAAGTTTCATGGATTTTCTGGTTGGTCTGGCTTTGACTCTCAAGTCTCAGCCTCCTCAGTAGCTAAGATTATAGGCATGAGCCACCAGTGTTCAAGAGGGAAGGTATTTTAAAGGAAATGACTTCCAAGCTGGTCTTTGAAGGCTTTTGTTATAGGCAAGGTATATAGTACTCTAGCTTTTATTTTCCTTTATTTTTACATTGAGGGAAAGAAAGTGACACCCATAATATCTGAAAGTGTGGAGGGACTTATGACTGTAATCAGTGAAAGGAAAGCAGAGACCACTTCCTGTGGAGAGGAATTTATCTCTTCCACCGCCCATGGCCCCTGATCTCCCTCCAGAGCAGGCGGGGAGGGTGGAAATTGGCAGTGAGAGGATGCAGCCACAGAGGCTGTGGAAGCAGGAGGAAACAGTTGGGCATCGGAACTCACAACAGAGTGCTCCTGAAGGGCACGGGAGAATGGAATGAGCAGTGATTTGTGGAGGAACCAGACCATGAAGGAGCCCAGGGAACTGGGATTAGGCAATTTCCCCACCTAGATATTTTCTCTGTATTTAATAAATCAGAGGCAGAGTCCTAGTGTGTATTGCCAATAATCACACATTTCAGGCCTGGCCCTTCAGGGCTTGCAAAGAGAGGAGCATCTTCTCACTCTGGGCAGGGTCACGCTACATTAAAAGCATGAACATGTGGCTTTCCAGGAAAACCTCCAGTGGAAGATGGCAAAAGCCCAGATGCAAAAATGTAAATGGAGTTTTGCCCTGGAAGGGATCTTTAAACTGGGCAAAGCCCAGGGCTTCCTGGTATCCCTCAGGTTTCAGGTAGAAAAACATTTCGTATAATCAAACATTCTGACGTCCGAACCCATGGAGCGTGGGGCCAATGCCACTGCTTCCAGTCATGTTTATCACTCTTGGTTTCTCTCCCTCATTTATATATTTCCCTGCCCCTCCCCACTTATTATGCTCTCAATTTTTTTTGTACTGGTCCTAGGGCATAAACTCAGGGCCTGGGTGCTGTCCCTGAGGGGTTTTTGTTGTTGTTGTTTGTCAAAGCTGATGCTCAACAGCTTGAGCCATAGCTTCACTTTAAGAGTCTCATGGACTTTCCTGTCTGGGCTGGATTTGAACTGTGATCATCAGATCTCAGCCACCTGAGTAGCTATGATTACTTGTGTGAACCACTGTTGCCTGGCTTATACTCTGAAAATTTTCCCTGTGTACTTAACAGGTAAAGGGACATTTGAAAAGACACAGCTGAGGTCTTTGGACTGAAGATCTGTTTATATTCCTGGTTCCTAAAGTGGAGTATTCCCCGGCAGCATGTAACTGCAAGGCTGACCATAAGCAGACAGGGAAGGCTGCTGCGAAGCTAGAGACAAATGATTAATTCAAGAAGTTTTGCTCACTGAGGTAGCCATGCTAAGGGGTTTGGAAGGCAACTACTTCTTAAGAATTTAGGGTTTCAGGCTGGGAAGGTGGCTCAGTGGTAGAGCGCTTGCCTTGCATGCCTGAGGCCCTGGGTTTGCTTCCTCAGAACCACATAAGCAAAAAGAAAAAAGCCGGAAGTGGCGCTGTGGCTCAAGTGGTAGAGCGCTAGCCTTGAGCTGAAGAGCTGCGCCCAGGCCCAGAGTTCAGGCCCCATGACCGTACCCAAAAAAAATAAATAAAAATAAATAAAAGAATTTGGGGTTTCACTTTTTGCCTATGACAACTTGAACTGTAAACTTCCTATTTACTCTTACCATTGTTAGAATGAAACACATGTATCATCACACTCCGTTTTTTTTGTCTTTTTTTGGGCGGTAGTGGGGCCTGAACTCTGGGCCTGGGTGCTGTCCCTCAGCTCTTCAGCTCAAGGCTAGCGCTCTACCACTTGAGCCACAGCGCCACTTCCGGCTTTTTTTCATTTTGCTTATGTGGTGCTGAGGAATCGAAACCAGGGCCTCATACATGCAAGGCAAGCACTCTACCACTGAGCCACCTTCCCAGCCCCCACAATCCATTTTTTTTTTTGTTCTTGTTATGGGGTTTCATGATGTTTTTGTTTGTTTGTTTGGCCCAGGCTGGCCTAAAACCATGATTTCCCTTAATCTCAACCTCTCACATCGCTAGGATGACAGATGCTTGCTACCATGCTCAGCTATTGGTTGATATGGTGTCTCCAACTCAAGTTTTAAAATGTGTCAAGGCAGCTCATGGTTCAGAGGATTTTGATGTGTATTTTTTAATGTGTTCTCAATTTTCTGTTGTTTATTTGGAAGTTATTCAAGCTTTGTGTTACTGTTCTGTCTTGCCTCTTCATCTACATACCTCTTCATCTTTCTCCCCACTAAACGTCTACCCTGGGCTCTTGTGTGTCTTGGTGCCATCTGCCTGCAGAGCACCTGGACCCAACCCTTCTCTCCTCCTACTCACAGAGGACTTTCAACATTCTGACCCAGAAAGCATCTCTGGATGTGTTTCTGCCCGATGGAAGGAGCATGAAAGTAGATATTCTAACATCAGATACTGCCGAAAGAGTCCTAGAGGTAAAGTTTGTTTAATCTCATTCCAGAACTTCATGGAGAGAAAAAACAGTTCTGCTTCAAAAGCAAGAACTGGGCAGGGCGCCAGTGGCTCATGCCTGTAATCTTAGCTACTCAGGAGGCTGAGATCTGAGGATCACAGTTCAGAGCCAGTCTGGGCAGGAAAGTCATCTCCAATTAACCACCAGAAGTTCAGAAGTGGTGCTGTGGCTCAAGTGGTGGAGTACTCGCCTTGAGCTGAAGAGCTCAGGGACAGTACCCAGGCCCAGAGTTCAAGCCCCACGAACAACAAAACAAAAACAAACAAACAGGGACTGAGGTATGGTGAGCCTTGGGAGCCTTCCTGGATTTGGTTTTTATTCTGTGTGTCTCATCTGTGGTAAGTGCTGGGGTCCCCTGGGAGGCTGAGCAAGGCACCTGAATGACAGCCCTTCTTCTAGGACCTGATTTTACCCTTCCAATGGACATCACTCACCTTTTCCTAGAACCTAGCCAGGATATAGTCTGTAAATGTCCAGAAGGCTTTGGTACAAAACATTTCATATATATATATATATATATATATATATATATATATCCCATATATGAGAACAGGAAGGAAGCAGTTCCTGGCTGAGTCTAGAATAAGCCATACCC